TAAAAGAATACATTTTTTATAATTAAAGAACTAAAAAAGTATTAAAAAAATTAAAAAATAAAAATTATGTAAAATCTTAAGTTGATGGATTAAAATTAGCATTTAACTCTAATTAAAAGCTAATGTAGTTTAGAGTATGGAAAGTCTGTTGTAGCATGATGTGATGACCCTGCATCAAAGAAGGAACGATCCAATTTTTGTTCGAAGTATTTAACATGCAACAGATAGATTGAGGTATCATTTCGGTGGCTTGAGTTTCAAACTCCGGATAGCTTTTTACAAAACTTTGATAATTTATTACATAGGCACTATATAAAATTAAATTTTTATTACTATCTCATTCATAAATTGCTATGCATCATATTTATTATAATTCAATTTTCATATTTATTGCTATGAGAATTAAAATAATGATGGTAAAGAGAATAGACTAATAAAAAAGTTTATGATCTATTCATCTATAATCTAAACAAAGAAACAAAATTAAACCTTGCAAGTTGGTCCTTCAAGTGAATATGGTTTATCAATTTTATATTGTAATATGTAAAGTTAAAGGCAAAACTAATTTACAGAGTAGAAATGAGGAAGCAATTGAATTAATTGTGATAAGTTTACCATTCAGTACTAGACCTCAATTGTAAGGATTTTTCCTCATAAAAATATAATTGAGAAATCATAAATAATTACAAAGAATTTAAGAGAGAGATTCTTATCCATTCATTAAACATGAATCCTTCCATGCTACTTTCCTAGTTTGAAATTTCTATGACTTTTTAGAGGCCGGACTACATTGATCTTACATTTGTAGCATGAGTAAAGAAACAAAAAAATTGCATAACTATATAAAAAAAAAAAATAGTAGTTTTTCTCTGCATAACCTAAGGTAATGTTTAGTTATTTATTTTTTCATCATGGATAAAGAGTTATCCACTTCAGTAATAATATTGGAAATTATGCAAAAAAATTATTGGAAGATTAGTAAGCCATGAAATTAGATGTAAAATTGATGTAATAAATGATAGACATTAAGTAGGATTAAGGATTCATATCACAAAAAATACACTAATGTACCAACCACCACATAATCTCTTAAATTGCTAAAAATGGTACTTCCACTTCTTGAGATATCTCTTGATCATTTATTTCAAACGTTATTTTTCCTGGACCAACTATCACATATACATGATAAGCACCTAGCAGCAAAGTAAGAACTACAATGCACCATAGATAATATTCCTGATGTTCTATGGGAATCCATTGATAAGAACAAAGGAAGGAAAAAGGATCAGCAATCTAATCCAGAGGATGGGATATTTTGAGTTAATTAAGAGATAAGATTTACCATACTTATATGGGTGTGGTCATTGAGTTGGAACTGACTGGTAATATTAGTTTACAACTAAGTGCAATAATTAAATTAACGGAAGACTGAACTGATAAATTTGGCCAGATCCTAATATTGATCTATCATGCAACCCACTAACTATACATGCATGCAACACCCTAAATGGCTTCCCGTCGCAACTGAACTCCTAGGGTCATATCTTTGATTCCAAAGTTTGAAGCATTGCTACCAATTCAGTATAAACTTGTTAAAGTTTAATTCTGCCAACCTCTACTATCCCTATATATCACTATATCTATAAGAATACTCAACGCAAAGCTTCATAACCTTCATCTCCCTCCATCTTCTTAATAATAAGTTAAATCCAATTATCCTTCTAACTAGGAAAATGTCACTCTAAATGAAGGAAAACAAAAGAAACAACTACTAAAATCTTTATGCAGTATTTCCATAATTTAAAACTTCAGTGGAAGAAAAATATTTTACAATAACCCATGCATAATACATAATAATTATTACTTTCCAAATTTAACCAAACTGACTTAAGCATTAAGATGCATTTTTCATGGAAATTTTCCATCATTTTCTCATCAATCAAATAGGACCAAATGAAAACAAAGTAAAATAGCAACAAACTCTAAAAGTAGAGGAAAAGATTAAGCCAAAGCTCACATGAAAAAATATTAACCTAGTCTTGGAGATTCTGGAGAGCAATCCTTATTGCATTGAGACGCTTCACCTCCATTCTGATAAAGTCATTGTCATCTCGGTCTTGAGTCCTCAACGAATACAAATATGGCCTGGTTTCCTACACCGGTCACAACTACAATATCATGAAAAAGGAACATGTAGACTGCAAAAATTACCAACAAAGAAAAAAAAAAAAAGAAGAAAAATAAGATGAATGGAAGAATTCTTATTTCTAAATATAATAGATGGGCCTTAATAAGAAAAACCTTAAACATTCGCTAGATGTATACAATTTGATAATATATTTCTTGAGTCTGATTCATGAGAATATTTTTTAATGGTTTGTAAATCCTAAATATCTCCATAAAGCTTTTATGTAGGTGGTAATCTTTGACTATTCCTCATTTATATACTACCTTTCTCCCTCTCATTTCATAAAAAAAAATACATATATGATTTTACCCCACTCAGAATCTCAAATACTTCAACTAATTTTCAGTACCTTTTTATTATCTTCAAGCTTCTACTTTTCTACATGTACTGAATGCACTATATTTAACAGTTTTCAAATAAAAATTTCAAACATCTTGTTAATTCCTCAACTGTCTCATTCTATTTCTCCACCTTTTCCCTTCTGCCTCTATTGCAATTCTATCTATTAATTTGTATAATTTCCGCTACAGTCTGTAAAGTTCAAGAACTAAGTCTGTCCTAATATCTATTCTATCCTAAGTGCTGCCTTTTATTTTCTTTTCTCAGACATATATTTAAGGATGTGAGTGAGATCATGTCCTTTTTTTCCAAAGGTAGTATGCTGTTTGATGATTGAAGCGAAAGTGTACGTTGGACTGGCAGTTAAGGAATGAAAGTTAGATGATCCTTCAATATGCTTTTATTATTTCTGCTACAAAAGAAATGTTTCTCGCTTGATCTAGGCCTTTATTGTTCACTACTTCACAATCTCTACACCTGAAATAAAAAAGGAAGCTTACAATAGAAAATATAAAGTTTTAGCACAAAAAAAACCTCCAACAAACAAAAAAAAACAGAAAGGGCAAAAAACCTGAATCAAAAATAAAAGAAAAAAAATTCAAAAAAAAATTAACTTTAATCCGAACTAAAAAAACCTTAAAAAAATTAAAAAAAAAACCAAAAAAAAAACAAAGGGAATGGAAAAAAAAAAAATAACCTGGCCTTAACGGAAAATGCAAAAAAAACAATTTCCCTTAAAGTTAAACAACCAATCCAACCTCCCGAAAAAAAGCCTTTGCCCACTAATTAATAACAAGAAGACTCCAACCCCAAACCTTTTTACCACTGCATCTCTAAGCTTCTTCAATGTGACATGTTGTCTAAGCTTCTTCAACATGACACATTTCAACAGCTAAGCTATCCTTTTAAATTGTCTAAAATCGAGAAAGATGATTGATAAAATTGGTTTATAATCATCTATTCTCTTCAGAATTTAATAATTCAAATTCTTAACACTTTAATTAAGGCAATTCAAGCTCATATCACTAAGAAAAGATCAAAAAATTAAAAATTAAAAATTAAATTAGGTTGTAGTCTCTATATACAAAAAATAAAAACAAAACTTAGTAGCAACATTTAACTCATCTTAGATTTGCTACCACGGTCATGAAAAGGGGTGGCTATGCTGCTTGAACAAATGTGCAATCTCATAGGTTTTAAATTAAAGTCGAAACAGATTTTTTTTTTTTTTTCATTTCAATAAAAAGAGCTAACAAATTAGGTGCAAATACAGATTCCCGTGCAAGAAATTACACATGAAAAGCAAGATATTTAAACTTTTAATAGTTCAAAAAAAGAGAAAGTTCTTCATATTTGCCTTGGGTTTTGATTGTTCTTTCTATGAAAATATATGAAAACATCATCAAATAAGATTATGAAGAAAAATCATATCAGGAATTTGAATCTATTAAATCCTAAATCTAATTACCTGCCACTAAGTGCTTTTTCCATCATGTTCATGTTGTCTTTGGTTTCCCTTGATTTTTTGCTTGGTAAATTAATCTTTGACTATGAATTTCCATATGAAAGCTAGTAAATAAAATTTATAATGGGAGTAGCATAGAATCCTAACTCCTCATACCTAACTCATTACACACACAGAAAGAATTCATTTAAAAGAGAATCTGTGTTATGTAAATAAAAAAAAAAAAGATGAAAATAATTGAGAACGAAACCAGCAAATTGTGAGCGGAAATAGCTTACAACTCCTTACCTGTTATTTTCAGAAAGCAAGCTTAGCAAATCATGGGCACAAACCTAAGCAGGAAATCATTCGTGGAATCAACCCATCGTGGGGCAGTTTCTTGCAGTTTTTTATATAGCATAAGAACGCAAAACAGCATAAGCATATTCCATCAAAACGTCTTCAATGCTTGCCATTTTGAGCCAGCTAAGCCTATTAAGGTTACTTTGGAAGCACTATTAATAATAAAATATGTCCCACCCCTTGCAGGGACGTGCGTAGGACTAAAAGAACTTGGGATCAAATCTCAAGTCCCCATTCTCCCTTCCCCAAAAAAAGATTTCACACTGTTCAAAAAATAATAATAATAAAATATAAATATATATAAAAGTAATAATAATAATAATAATAATAATATATGAAGATGATGATTTGGTTACAGTGTCAAATTCTCTACATTTACCAAAATAGAAGGTAACTAAAATAGCACAAAAGCGAGAATGAGGCATCGATAGTGCGCCCTAAGATTTTGTGGCTTACCTGTCACTCCAATTAGATTGATGAATCCAGTGAAATTCCTACCTATAAAAGGCGCAGGCCCATGGAATTTTCATACAGCCTCTCCTTTTTCTCGCCAAACTTACAACTCATCTGTTTGAGTGAGCATGCCTCATTTCATTAACTTCGAATTGATGAAACATGCTTATTATTGTTCAGTTCTACTACTATATGTGCGGCAGAATTAATGTCTTTGGTTCATCCAAAAGGTGAAATAATTTCTTCATTTCTTTTCAGTTTATAGATCTCTATCCCAGATCCCTGATGCGAACTATTTTTGCTATTGCTGAGTTGTGCAGCTAAATAGATTTTTAATCATTGGAGAGTATGAAGTTATGAAGTGAATTGTAATTCTTCTTTTCTTTTCTTTTCTTTTTTTTTAAAAAATAAAATTAGTTCATCCATATCTTTCTATGTGGAGGAACAACAATATCTTTTCTTATTTCTCTACTTTCTTCTCATCATAGTTTCGACAATAACTTTTTCCAAGATACATCATATGATAAATCGCCATTTTGGGAAAATCCATACTTTATTTGAATAGACATCAAACTATGGAGTGGAAAGGTTTGTGATTCATTCATATGTTGTAAATTCTCAAAATCTTATAATATTATGGTATGTTTAGAATGATAAAGACTTTAGTGTATAATTCTTGATAATTATTCTCAAAATCTTTGCATAAGTTTTTGGGATGGTGTCTCTCTCCTCTGCCGCACCACGTGCTTCTGATAGGTTTAATTTTTTTTGTTTAATAGTTCTTTTCCTGGTTCTTCTCAATGTCCTGTCCCTTTGCTTCTAATTAAGATTCTGTTAGTTATATGTTTTATCCCCACTGAATATAATATTAATCATTAACTGATATATGCTTCTTTTGGCATTAATGATGAGATTTTGTTCAACCTTTCAAAAAAATATTAAGAGTAAATAAATGTCATTTATAGGCAATTGAAATTTTCTTATTTTTAAGTGAAATTAAACAATTGAAACTAAAAATTTATTCACTTTGTGGGAAGCAAATGCTTTTCTGATTAGAATGAATATACAAAACCCATCCATGGTTTTACAGAAGTTTTTTCTTCTTCCAATAACAAAAGAGAGAGAGAGAGAGAGAGAGAGAGAGATAAGCATTTTAATTCCATAAAAAATAAATGTCATTTATAGGAAATTATTATTTTCTTATTTTTCTCCTTACTATTACTTTCCTTTGCTCCCTCTTAATTTCAACAACTGATTTTCTAATTTGATATCATCCCATTGGACATACTAAAGGTTTTAAAAGAGTGTTGCTTTCTAAGGTCATCAAAAGTATGATCAACTCTTAGGTTTGAAAGGTATGGTATTTATATGCTTCAAGCTTCTTCCTTTTTTGTAATTCGATCCTTGGCTTCAAATGTTTCTGCTTCAGGTCAGGTTTTATTAACCCCAATACTTAAATTCTTCTAAACTTGGACATCTGTTATGGTTTTTTATTAATCTGCAATTTTTTTCCCATAATAATTGTTCTTGCAATAGAATGCTCCATTGTAATCAGCTAATCCGTGCATGCTGAAAAACATACAAACTATCATTAGTCTCTTTCGATTTCATTTTTCACAATTTGGTTTTAACTAATTATTGGTTGAAATCTCTTAAAATTTTACATTACATCGAAGAAGGTAAGAGAAGAATATCTAATTGGTTTTGTATATTAAATTGCTAGTTAGTATCCGGAGGTACCAATATTGGGAGACGTTGCTGATGAAGTGATGATGGGGTGAAAGGTAAACAAATGTGCAAGATGTAGAGTATGCTCTTAAGGAGTTATTGGCAGCTAATTCATATCGTAAATTTCAATTATATTTTCTGAGTTTACTGTTTCTGAATTCCTTTTCCTACGATACTTAAAAGTTTGAACATGCAACTATCTTTTCATTGTGCTCACAAGTATAAATGAACCATGTACATCTAAGAATGAATTGAAATTAACTGCTAATTATACTTATAAAGTTCTATGCATGTTGTTAGATATGTATGATGAAGAATCTCTAATGATTTAAATTAGACATGGTTTTTTACAACTTATATCAAGTTTCGGCACACAAAGTTGTGTTAAAGATATCAATTCCTCTGGAATTTCACCTACCAACTTATTGGAAGAGAGATCCAACCATTCAAGATTTGACAAATTCCCGAGTGACACTAAGATTTGACAAAAGATTCAGCACAGATAAGTTTTAACACTCGCTTGATACCTGACGGGGTCAAAAAAATCCAAATAAAAGTTAGGGTTTATCAAAAAAAAAAAAAAAGTAATGAATTGAAATTTTATTAACTAAAATGATTCAATTTTGGCAGAGTACACAACATTCCCTAAATTGTCAACATAAGTCATGATTGTAATCTATAATTGGATCATATTCTTGAATTATAAACATAAGTTACAAAAATTCAAATCAAATCAATCTAGCAAAGGTTTACCCAGGCACTGTTCTTGATTTGGCTAATTGTTCTGAAACAACTTAAAACAAAGCATATATGTTGGCATAGAGGGCAGGGGAATGATAATTGATACACACTGTGTTTTATGCTTGCATGCTGAAGAATCCTGCAGTTGTCTTTCCTTCAAATGTGGATGCAGTAAGAAAATAGGGAAGGATATACTTTTGAAGCTATTATAAGTAGAAATCCTTTGAGTTGGTCATTGGAATGGAAGTAAAGGACCTAAAGGTAGAGGAAGGATGGCTTTGACTCTTTATCTTTAAGGCTTCTTCTCTCACAGCCATGGTTTATTTCATATGGCAGGAAAAATGAGAGTTAAGCAACAATTCTGCACCTAGTTGCAGTTAGTCTCTTAGCTACTTAGTTGAGTTACATTAATGGTTTGTCATTAATTTTCTGTAAACCTGAAAATGCATGGTTGAAAGCCTTGTGGGGAATTTTGGATTAATGAAGTAAGCTTACCATTCTCTTAGAAAAGTGTTTTAGGATTCATCCACTGGTCCAGTTAAATAACCAAACAAGAAAGGAAGTCATAGAATACACAAATCAAAACCAAATTGAAAAAGAGTGATGATGTAAATATTGTGCTAAGCACACAGAATGAAGTCTACTGGGCAGATCATGCTAGAGGACAGGTTCAAATGCAAAATATTAGTTTAAATATAAAACAACATTCAAGAATGCAAAAGCTGCAATTGACAATCAGATCTTTAAAATTGAAGAAACTATGGGAACCATGAAAAGTGAACAAGTTAAGTTTAACAAATTAGAGGAAGAAACTCAAATAGATAAATAGAGAAAACAAGGAGTACAAAATCATTGAACCAGACAAGTGAGGAAGTTGTTGGTTCATTGACATCTTTACACCAAATGTCATAAATCTAACCCCCAATCCCCTAAGCAACCCACCTCCATCCGTGGATTGCAGTAAAAATTATTCAAATTAAGTGATCGAAATCAAAACCGTGTCATAAAGTAGTCAGTGGTACTGGAAACAGTATTATTTGTCTATCTATGATATACTCCCACTAACTTTGAAAATATCCATTTTCTTCCACAAGTATCAATTACCTAGACACCAAAAAATTGAAGGCAAGGCAAGAATTCAAAAACCAATATCCTTATCTCTACAAACATAAATCAAAGAACCTAAGGGTAGCAGCAAAGAGAGCAAACGCTGAGACTTGAAACAGAGGACAGAGGGCACCATATTTTTTCTTCAAACAAAGTAATTGCATTTTTCATACATAATTAAACAACACCCAATTGTCAAGAAATAAAACCCATAAATAAACATATCAAAAGAAAATTCCTTAGTGTTAGTTACCGGAAAGACGGTCTGTGGCGGTCAACGAGCTGCACTCGTCCTAGAAGCGAACCTGTACAAGAAGAAGAATGCAACTCTCTAACCGGTAC